GGGTTTAAGCCCTTGCTCTGTTACTCTGTGATGCTCAATATTCTCCATTTCTTCCTCTATAAAAGAAAAGTGGTTGGTCAGTGGCTCCCACATTCCTTCCACCTATGAATCTGTGAAACACCTGGGCTTTTCTACTTAGGTATCCATATATGAGTGGATCAGATAATCCTATTTTCTCCCACTGGACTGATTTGCAGCTCATTTCAGGAAGGTGGAAGCCTTGGAGAAATGCCATCTTGAGAAAGCAAATACATTATTCATCTTGTCAAACTTTTATAAAATGAATAATTGTTGGCAGAAAGTATTTAAAAATGCCTTTTCTTCTTTCCCATTAAATTAAAGTATAATTACTAAATGTGAAATGGGATCTCCAGATTTATGGTGAGGGAACTGGCTTCTTATCCTAGTTCCACTGCTAGTATTAAACTAGGATGGTGATAGATCAAGCAGATTAAAAAACTGCAGGTGATTTTCAGAATTCATGGATCTCAGAGATATTCATTCTTTTAGGCCATTAAACTTGCTTTGGCCCAGAATGCAATTGCTTGTGGTGTTTCTACCATTTCTTTTATCATTGTTACTTCTCTTGTATTAATAGGTTAAGATAAACTCATATCTGCATGAAAAAATATATCTAATAAAGTCTCCTTTCTATGAAAGTAAGAAGAGACTCCGTCTTTGAAAGAGAATATAATAAAATGTGTTTAGATAAACTAGCTGCTTGATGTAGTTTCAACTTCGGGAATAATGGGAAATCATTAGTAGCAGGTGGAATGCTGCCTGACACTCATTTGCTTGGGACCTGTGGGCATGAAAGCAATGCTACTTTAAAGGCAGAATCAAGTTCCCATTTCCTCCTGATTTTTAGTGCAGCTCTACAGAAACGTAGTGACATTCACAATGTGCCGGATCCTGGGAAGCCCCCAGGAAGAGAATGACATGGCCCCTGTCCTGCAGACTTTCAGAGGCCCAGAGGGAAGTGGGACCTGGAAAGAGTAAAACCAGTACTGAGACTGTACAGAGCAGAGGGGAAGTCCTGTTGAAAAGAAGTTCAGGGAAAGGCTTTATAGAAGTGGTGATTCATGAGCAGAAATTTTAAGGAAAATTCATGAGGTGAACAGGAAGAGGCTGACGGAAAAGAAACAAAGGTGTGGAATCACAGAAGGGTAACTATGTGAGTGTGAGCACTTGGTACTGCAATGAGGCAGAGTCTGGGCAAGTGGGGGGAAAGAGATCACAGGGGAGAAGGAGAAGCAAGGCCGTGGTGAAGAGAAAGGAAGGGCCAGACAAGCAAGGTCTCACTGCCATGTGTAGGGCCTTGGGCTTTATCCGTAGGTGGTGGAGACCTTGAAGGTTTTTGAGCATATCACCTCATGATCACATTTGCATTTTGGAAGATTACTTGTGGCTGGATTATGGAGAAATGTCATGACAAGAATCAGATGGTGTGGCAGCATGGAGACCTAGTTAAAAGGGTAATGCAATAGTTCAAATGAGCGATGAGATGATTTTCTGGTGTAAAATTTTCTATTGATTCATAAATATACTGCCACATTTTAAAATGTCAGCAAACTGAAAATAGTTTTAGTATTCAGTAGAACTAATTCATTGCTACTTTTATAGTTTGAAATTATTCATGAAATTGATAGCAATGAAAAGTTGAAAGAGGATGAGTATTTTTTCAGTGAAATTAAACTAGTAAACTTCTCACAAAAAATCATAGTTATAATTTTGCTATATAGTATGGACTATAACTTCACAAAAATGTAAAGCAATGAATTTGTAATATATACACATCTATTTATTTGTGGAAATTATGCATAGTTGAAAACAAGTGAATGATGTCATAGTGTCAGTGTGTATAAGTATTTGTTGAGTTTGCATTTGATACAGTTATAACCAAGACTTTGTATTAATTCAAGTTATGGAATAAGTGACTGATAGTTAAACAGAAAGGTAAATCTCACGTTGAGAAAGAATGAAAATATCTGTTAGGGAAAATTAAATAGCAATATATGCATATAAGATTGTAATTTTTAAAAGAGTTTGTATAAAAGATCATAGGAAATCATTTAAATGGAAAAGCACACTTGAGAATTGCTTTAAATTGTGTCACAAACAGGATGGCATATACATCTTCTTACCAAATCTTGGTTTTGATGCATAAATCCTTAGTTCTTCATTACCACAACAGGAAACTAAAGTCAGAACTGAAGAAATTAGAACACCCATAGCACTATGAGGCAATAAAATATTATAGTGCTACATCTCTTTCAGTATGAACCCAAGATTTTTATTTTTAATGTTACTATTTAAGTACACATAGTAGTACATAAGTTATCATAAATGTTAGGTTGTATGTCCATAATTAAATAGTGATCAGTTTCCATAATGCATTATCTTTAATTCAAACTAATGCTCAGGAATCTGAGCATTCATTTCTTACTGTTTGCCAAACTTTCTTTAATTATGTAGAATACTGTTGGTGCCTGTAGTTTTAGGATTGCAAGGTTTTTTACTCTACAGTTGATACCAGATTGTATTTTAGTACTCAGAGATTACATTGAGGTTTTAGGGGTTAGGATGAATTTGCTACGCCTGATTTTTATAAAAAGTTTTTTAAAAATAACTTTTTGGTAGGATCTGCTTATCTCTGTTTCCCCCACCCCCTGACCCCCATATGATACTTGATTATAGTGTGATACCTTGAGGATACTTTTTTTAGCAAAATGTATTTTTACTATATATTCACCCTTAATAGGTTCTGTTAGTGGAATTGATAGTGACATGTTTCAAAGCAGAAATCTTTATGCTTATTTGTTTTTTACTATTTAATGAGATTTCAGGTATATTTTAACAACTGGGGTTTCCCTGATGAATCATTAAAATAAGTGAGTGGGTTGGAAGGTAATGCTAACTTTTCTCAGTACTGCCCTGTTTTATCCTGCTGGGTTATTCGTTGCTTTTAAAATAGAACCTGGTGTGTTGGAGTTGGTGGGTGGAGGTGCTGAAGGGAAGGGGTCAGTAAGAAAATACCAGGTAAACCTCTGATGACCTATTGGGAAGTCCTGCTCAGATTTTATTTTCCCCAACTTAGAGCATTTAGTGTTTAAGTTCACTGTTTTTTCATTCTGCCAAGCTTAACTTTTTTAAATATTATATATAGGCAAGTAGAAAATATATTTTCAGCAATTAATTCAAATATAAGGTATCAAGCAATGTGTGCATTAGCCTGTGGAATCAATTTCTCATGTGTGTGGGATTAAAACCGTTAATACCATCATCACTGAAACCATACCTTCCTACAGCTAATAGCAGTAAGGTGTCTGTGGAATATATTAATACAACAATTCCTCTGATTTAAAATTATTACTTGGTATTTGGTTGGAAAATTATTTGAATATTATAAGTAACTGAATTGACATCATATATGAGGGCTGATTACAGGTTTCTAATGTGACTTAGGTTTAGCTTTAAAAAAATCCACATGATGTATGTATACTTAGTGCATCTTTTTCAGTAAATCAATGGCATATTGCAAATTTCCGTTCTCTGTACTGTCAAAAAAAAAAAAAACAAAAAATAAAAAACAAAACCTACGACAGCAAGTTCTAACTGTTAGAGGAGGTAGACCAAAATGTAGTTCACCTTGAAAATGGCTCAGGGAATAAGGAAATTGGGTCAAGCTTAAAATAAATGCAGGTACAGTGACGAAAAGTTTTAATAAAAATTTAAAAATATTCACAGCCCTGGTTTCAGGCTACTTTTGTTCTTGGTGATCTTATCAATGCATTATTAATTTTTAATTGAGATGACACTAATGGCACTTTTTCATTTTGGTCAAAATGCTTATGTGAAATATTTTTGTGATTTTTCACTTTGTATCCTCTTTTAATTGTAAATATAAAGTTTTGGAAAGTCAGACAATTCTTAGATCATTTGGCCTCTGGTGATCTTAAGTAGAATTTGAAGTGGTTTAAAATTCCTATGTCATAGCTATCACTTTGACTCATTTATATTGCCAATTTAATGTTTAGCATTTAACCATGTATCATTAAATCATAGTATTGATAATGAATTAAACTTTCATAAAGCCTTAATAGTATAGTAGATTCTCATTCATCTGGTGTCACTGGGGAATAAAATATGCTGAAGAAATGAGTTTTTTGTTTTTTTTTTTTTAACTGAAGCTTACTGGGTTAAGCAGAAAAACTTAAAAGTTGATAAAAATTTATCTGACACACATTGTATGCTCTTTTTGGGAGCAAGAATGGATTGGCCATTAACTTTTTCTTTTTTTTTTTTCAACTTTTTTCTTAATGTCATAAAATACTAACATTCTAGTGTCATGCAGAAAGGACATGGGCTTTCTGATTGGAATTTGTTCCCTCACATAAGAAGGTTTTTTTTTGTTTTTTCCTTTGAAATAAGTGCCACACCTCTAACTGATATACTTACTCAGTTTCTGCGGTGCTAAAGCTTTAACCCACTTATGTAAGACCTTTGGCTGTGTGTAGGCTTACCTATCATCTTCTGGCAAACACCTGGCCACAGCCTTGGGCTGTAAAGGAGACCTTTCCCTTGCTTAGGAGTAAGCCTTTCTGTGTTCAGGACTGCCACTCCCAAGCACTCACTCCCTAGTAGCCATTGGTAGTGGTCCCTGATGTCTGTATTCACCATTGCTCGGTGCTCGTGAGCATCTGTGGTGTCAGAGGGAGCACCTGGCGTTTTCTGGGATTATTGCTAAAATGAGCAAATAGTGCACTCCCTTTATCTTTTAGCAAATTCCAGCATAACAGCAAAAATTCTTTTTAACAAAGTGTTTTTTTTTTAAACCTCATGCTTGTTTGTTTCAAGCAGTGTTTTCTAAAAACTCAAGCACAGTAAGAGTATTTGCACTGTTCTTTAATGTGCTGTGATGACATTTGGTTTGAATCTTATATTTAAAAATCAGCTTCCTCTCTTTTGCTTGCACCTAATGGGAATCATCTTTCTTCCAGGTTGTGCTTTAAGAAGACTATAGGGAAGAACACATTTTCTTCTTGCCACAGAAGTTGCAATAGAAGTAAGTAGGGGAACTGCCAGGATATGTCTGTCTCCACAAAACAAGCAGAACAAATTTCCGTGAATCAAAGCCACTAAGTATAGTTTTCAGAGATGGTAGGACATAGTTACTCTCCCCAGAAAAATACCCAAAATGCAGGCACACCCATTGGCCACTAGAAAAATGCTCGAGTAAACGCTAGTTCAAACCTGTACATTTCACTCTTCTTACTGAGCTATTAAAGGGGTGGAAATCTACTATAGCTATAATCTTTTTTTCCCCTTTTCTATTTTTCGACCTCCCACGTGCTTGGTGTTCAGTTCTGCTTACTGAATGTCTTGAATCTACAGCAGCACCTACACATACTGCCTCCACATTGGCTTATGGTTTGCAGATAACTCATGATTCAGACCCATAAGAAACATCTGTAAATATATGGCATGATATGTGCTCTAGATTAATCATTTAAAAGGGCAAAGGAATGAAGAATCAGAAAGCTTTTTTTCCCTTCTAATATTGATGTTGCTTTCTTTGAGGTTATATGAATGAAATGTTCTTTAGAGTGGTTTAGATCACATTCTATTACTTGGGGAAATAACTCAGGTCATTTTTATAACAACCTTTTAAGGATATATAGGGCATATACACCTTGTCATGATTAGATCAGAGGAAATAAACCAAGATAGAGATAACTGTGATGTGATCTAGTAAGCAAACTAATGTTAACTGCTTTTAGTCTGTCTTGCAACCTTTGATATAATTTTCAAAATTGCCTTATATTGGTCTCTCAGTAGACTTTCTAGAAGTTTCCATTATTTGAAGGATTACAGCTACCATTTTGTTAAACTTATCTTATTGAACTTTGCATTTATTAGAGGTGGTCTCCAACTGGCCTGAAAAAAAGCCAAGCCTCTGCATAGCTCAACCTCTAGGGTTACTTCTTCCCAGGTACCTGTGGGGGTCTCAAATTCTTATTTGAAATACAAGCTGCTGATGAAGAATGGGTAACACCTACCACACTTCAAATGCATGTGTATATGCACCTTTCCCCCCTATTGATTGAGAGGGGGCCATGATTGAAAATTACTGATTTTAAAATGCAGGAGGATTCAAAGATATCCTTTTCCCTTACATAAGGTGATTTATACTGAAAATGGGAGGGGCAAAATATCTTATTACTGTTTGTTAGTTATTATGCTTCAATTTTATCTTCACAACACACCTCTGAGGTTAGTATTGTTATCCTCATTTTAAAGGAGGCAAGACTGAGTCCTACAAAGTTAGGTAACTTGTCCTAGGTCACACAGCTAGGAAGTGACGTTGTTGAGCTTCAGACTTGTATCTCCCTAACCCCAGAGTTCATGCCTTTTCCACCTGAGGAACACTGCTGCTTATTTTGTAGATAAGTGAAATATGTATTTGTATAGTTTTCTTTAAAAATGCTCATTGGAAAATTCAGACATCAAGAACTAAGCTTTTTTTCATTCCAACCATATCTTTGAGAACCATTTGAGACTTTCTCCTTTGAAATGCAATTTAAATAGGCGTTGGTTTGAACAAGGTAAAGTATAGTTTTATTAGTGAAAAGCATCATTGAGGGGCACCTGGGTGGCTCAGTCGGTCAAGCGTCCAACTCTCGGTTTCGGCTCAGGTCATGATCTCAGGGTCGTGACCTTGAGCCTTGCGTTGGGCTCTGTGCTCAGCATGAGTCTGCTTGAGATTCTCTACCTCTTCTCCATCTGCCCCTACCCCTGCTTGCACTCTCTCTCTCTAAAATAAATAAATTTTTTTAAAAGATTTATTTATTTATTTATTTGAGAGAAAGAATGAGAGAGAGAGAGAGCACATGGGAGGGGGGAGGGTCAGAAGGAGAAGCAGACTCCCTGCCGAGCAGGGAGCCCAATGCGGGACTCGATCCCGGGACTTCAGGATCATGACCTGAGCTGAAGGCAGTCGCTTAACCAACTGAGCCACCCAGGCGCCCTAAAATCTTTTTTAAAAAAGCATCATTGAGTTATTGAGACTAATAATTTTGTGGAACAACATTATTAAGAGCAATATGCTGTGTAATGAGTGGTGTTTACTTAAGTCATAAAGGAAAATTCAAACATCTGGAATATTTTTTAAACAATGTAGTATTTATGTACAGAGTGATATTTCTTCCTTCTTACAGGAAATAGCATATAATTTGAAATGTATATGGATTTTCTTTATATTCACACATATATTTTTATTTTACTGACCACATTAACAAAAGTCATATTATTAAACCAAAAAATTGCTTGATAGCTAACTCGCTGGGATAAAAAATGTACCATGTCTTTAATAACAACATTACTTTATCCCTCTTAATGGGATTGTTATTTAAAGAAAGTTTCTAGAAACCTTGCTGGTTCATAGGTATATAGCTTTACCCCCCTTTTTGGGTCTTCCTTTGCAGGTGGGAAATTGGTGATAATGGGGGGGTGGTTAAGGTATGTGCAGTGTCTCAAGAAATTCTATCCTAAGATTTTTAACATTAGAGGATTGAGATTTGAATATGATTGTACTTTCTTTCCAAATATGGGATTCACTGGGGGCAGTGCTAGCTGGTGAATTTAAAGATGAATTAATGTGAGAGTTACAGAATCAGAGAATTTCTGAACTGGATAGGGCCTTACAAACAAAGGACTCTTGGAGTGGAAGTCTTAGGAGATGAGTTCATGACTGTCCGAGAGTAGTGGAGCTCTAGGCCAAGCCACTTCTTGTGGTTACTGAGTCAGGGTCACAGCCATTCCAACCAGGAAGTGAGTGATCACAGCAGAGAGGGCTTTACACTTCCTGGGGCTGGAGAAAAAAAAAAAAAAACCTGAGTCATTGTGGAAGTAATCTTAGGGCAAGAAGAAAACAGAAATCAGAAAAATAAGCATCCTTTATTTCCTCTTGTTAACACAAATGATGTAAAAATACTGATTACAAAAATATAAACCATAAGTGTTAAGTACTTTTTAAAAAAGTGGGATGCAGCATATTTTTTAAAAAATTAAGTGTCTGTAAATTATTTGCCCTCTGAGTGTGTAATATTTTAACTTATTTTTAAAAAAATCTTTATGCACACACACACATACATATGTTGGAAAAATATTGTTTTGCTTATTATTTAGAATCTGTGAAGGCTTAAAAGGGCCCATGAGTCTTCTCATCGTTGAGCCGTTCTGTGGAGGATCCCATAAACAGCTGGTGGATCTGCTCCAAGAAGAGTTAGAAGACTGTGTCCTTTATACCCTTCCTGCAAAGAAATGGCATTGGAGAGCACGGACATCGGCTTTATACTTCTCCCAGAATATTCCCATCAGTGAACAGTACAGGTAATTGGAGCTTGGGCTGCACCTTTAGCCTGTTCTTACTGTACATGTTATAAGAATGTTGCTTCTCTTTTGGCATCTGTGAGATTTTCTCCAGCTATGGAATTGGTTAGTATGACTATAATAGACCCAGCAGAGCAGGAGAGTTCACTTATGCTGTGAGGACAGCTGGCTAGATGAAAAGTGGCCTCATTTAGAACCCTCAAGCCTTTTCTCATTTGTCTTGTGATGTTATCACATGCATGTGTGTGGGTGTGGATGACATTTTTTGGCCTGAGAGGAGAGTTGATCTTGGGCACATATTTTGCACATAACCTCCAGTGTCTCTTGTAGGGAGTGTGCTGTTTGTGGTTAGTTTATTGTGTCTGCTCTGTACTAGGAGCTAAGGTTGAAAAGGCGCATGTGACCACGGTCTGTGCCCTTAAAGCTTTAAAGACTATTGAGGTAGAGATGGACTTGCAGGTGCAATGTGAGCATGAAAAATGGAGGAGTTGATTTTGACTGACAAAGTGGAGGTGGCTTTATAGAGCTGGCAACCTTTGCTTAGTCTTCAAGGATGAATAGATTTGGGGCACACAGGACTCAGTTCTGAATTCTGATTAGTTAGGAAGTGGGAACTAGGGGTATGTCATAGAGATTCTTCTGGGACACACCAGAAAGATGAATGAGAAATACTGATGACGTTTGATGGAGGACAAGTAGAATACTGAACATCCTTACCTCCTTATTCTCTATTGCTATATACTGCCTTGTGTCTCCTGCTTGTTAAATAGTGGGAGATTATCCTACTGTGTTTTATAGATCTGTTCTTCTTACCATTCTGGGCCCTTCTGTGTAGAACTGCATTGGTTTGGGGCACCTGGGTGGCTCAGTCATTAAGCGTCTGCCTTCAGCTCAGGCCATGATCCCAGGGTCCTGGGATCGAGCCCCGCATCGGGCTCCCTGCTCAGCAGGGAGTCTGCTTCTCCCTCTCCCTCTGCTGCTCCCCCTGCTTGTGCTCTCTGTCTCTCTTTCTGTCAAATAAATAAATAAAATCTTAAAAAAAAAAAAAGAACTGCATTGGTTTAAGCAGCACTGGGGAGTGCAGGCTGATAAGTAATGGAGGTAGGGCAAAAGGGTTGCTGGAGAAAGGGCACCGTTTGGGCTGGAGCACTCACCTTGCCTTCAGCAGCCACATCTATCTGTTGCTGCTTGTAAGGTGGAACAGTCACAAAGGAGACAACGGCTTGGGATTTAAATGTAGGTTGCTGTTCTTGGTAGTAATTTGGGGGATTCAGAGAATCCCCATACACCATTTGGTGTATGAAAACCATGCATCATGTCTGAGCATTCAGGTTGTCAGGTGGAATAGCAGTGAGCACTCGAGTCACTTTGCTTGGGATTATAAAGGTAAAATGCTGTTTGGGGACAAATTTAAGAATTTATTTTTCTAACCTAAAGTATATTTTTACTTCCATAATTTAATGTCTTATACTCTGATATCACTAAGTGAATATGGTTGATGGATAGTATCAGAAATTTCAGTGAGGGTATCAATATAAAACTTTTAAGGGCAATGATAAGACTGTTGACTGTTGTGTTAAAATATGAGTATTTATGGTTGCTTTCACATCTCATTTAATTGTGTTTGCATGGCACCAATAGTATTGTATTACTTAAGGTCAAGTAACGCAGTTGACTTTATGGCACATTTTCATTTAACGTGACCGTTTGTTATAATACATTTCTACAATGACTTGAACATTGAAATGAATCATTTCTCCATCGGCTGTTAGAGTTCATTTTGATTACGCAGTTTTTCAGAATGAAATTACTGTGTCACAAATACGTGTGTGTGGCGAGCATGCGTGCCAGCACTCCCGTGTGCCGGCTCCTCCACTCCGTGTGAGGCCTCAAGCATTTGAGGATAAACATCACAGTGCTCGTTGAAGCAGTCTTACTGGGGAGGTCGATTGCTGCAAGACTGCGATGGGAAGTTTTACTCTGACAGCTACAACCTACAGGTCCTAACAGCGGGGTCTAAGATCTTTCAGGGTATCATCGCAGCTGTGCACTTACCTGCATTAATCTAATCAGACTTCACTAAAAGATACACCTCACCAGTTGGACCTACGGTTATATTTGACCAGTGATAACTTATCTACTCTTTTTGAATACTTTTGGAAAAACAGCAACAGCTTGAAAACTTAACACTAAGTTAAAAAATATGCTCACTCAACCCTACATTGAAGTGCAAGAACGGTCTTTTGTTACACCAGATAAATCTGATCTCTGTGGAGACTTTTAAAGACATGAAGAGTTTTTGCTTTCCAGTTAGTTAACTCTCTTTGTACACTTGGCAGATGAAATCATCACAATTCAGAAAGCACCGGTATTACGTGCTATGCAGAATTACTCTGAACAGGTAGAGACTGCATCTGATGAGAAAGACCCTGAATGTAGGTACACATGTTATTTTTCTCAGCTTCTGTACATACAGTCATTATTGTTACAAGCTTATTATCCAGAAAATATTTTATTACTAACAGAATAAATGCTTCAGCCTAATTACTCAGTTTGATTCTGCTTCTTTATCTTGACAGCTAGGAGAATACATCATGGGTCACATTTGGAGTTGTTTAATTTTATCATAGATTACAAAAGCTCCATAAGTTATTTTTCCCCAAAGTAGTGGTAATGATTATTCCTTAGGTTATATTAAAATTTTGCCTTCTGGAAACCACGAAATGCAGAAAAATGTTTTGAGGATGGGTCTTAAATTTTATGTTCTGAAATGTATGAGTCATTTGTCCCAAGATTAGCATTTTGACTTTCTTAGATACACCTAGACTCGGCATCAAAGATATTTCATTCATTTTTTTCTTTACTGAACTGAGACAATCAGTTACTTAAAATCATTTTTTTTCACTCTCAGCTGCTTACAATTATATTTTTCATTCCATCCGAGGTATTGTAGCAGATTCTGATCATTGGCCATTTAACAGCCCTTCTTCCTTGTTAACAGAATCACACTTGTCTTTGGAGTGGCTAAGTACCCAGCCCCTGGGAGTGAAGCATGATTGACTTGAGTCGGTCATTATGATCCCGTTCTCTGCCCCATTTTCCCAGCTTTCCTTGCAGTTAATGCTGGGCAGTCACTGAGTCTTGGCAAATTAGATTTAAGTGGATGACTTCTGGGGGTTCTTCCAACAAAGTTTGTTTTATTTGTTTTTAGTTATGAAAGGAGAAAGCCATTTCCCTTCCTGCATTTGACAGTGGTTGTGAAGTCTGTAACTGTGAGGTGATAGGATGAGAACAAAATGCCCGGGCTATGAAAAATGGCTGATGGAAGTCCGGAAAGAGCCTAGATTAGACTTCCATTTTGAGCAGTAGAGCTACCTAGTCACCTGAAAACCCTCCGTCTCTAAAACATCTAGAAATTATTCATAAAGTGTAACAACTTCCCTTTTAACTCCATAGCTAACCAGAGTAAGAGGGGATCTGAAGAATGATCTGGAAATTAGAGTGGTAGCTGGCCTCGAAGCTGGGGTTGTCTCATTTTCATAAAGGGACTGGTTAACTTAGTTGTGTGACATTCTGAAATGGAATATTGTGCAGCTCTGACCTGAAGTAGGAAGATTTCTGTGTACTCTTCATGGGAACCTCTCTAAGACATTTTCTATGACAGAAAGTAAGGTGCCAGATAGTGTTATGGGGTATTGTCTTTGGTATAAAGAAAGAAGGTGATAAGAACAGAACAATGGAAGAGTACACTGGAAATGAATAAAAACAGTGATCTGCAGATCAGTATGGCAGAGGATGTCAATGCCCACCCATATCCCTGGGACCTTGCCCTTTCAGTGCGCCCTGGCCAGCTTCCCATGCCTATGTCTGCAGTTCTTTGCATGAGGGAGCAGCTACTCTGCTGGTGCAGGAGGTGGGCTGTGAGCAGCCCTCCACAAATGATCTTCACCCCTTGGATGAAATCAATCTGAAGTGTGTGCAGGAGAGAAATCGTTAGTAGAGATTCCTGAAAAGCCCTGTACCTGTAAATCAGAAAATGTGCAAGCATAATTCTAAATAACTCCTGGGTCACAGAAGAAATCATAACGGATATTAAAAATAGGACTGAATCATAATTAACATATTGTATATCACAATGCAGGTTATATCTAAATTGACAGTCACAGCCACATCGTCTTTAATAAATTTATTTTTATTATTTTTTAATTGTGAGATGCAAGCCCTCTAAAGCTTGTGGCCCAGAGCAGGGACCCTCTTACTTGAATCTAGGAGTAGTATTGGGAAGGAAAGAATAAAAAGAGTGAAAAATAGTGAAGTTGAAAGCAAATAGAAGTGGAGATGAAGAAACTACTAGTTACCTTGAGACAATAAAATAGATAACACGCATGATTTTTTTTTAAAGGCACAAATCATTTTTGGAATTATGTAGCTGTGGATCTGTGGATATGGCACAGATCAATAAAAAGGGGAAATGTTCTTTTAATAGTTTTATGTCAATAGAGATGAAACTCTCTTTCTCTCTGTCAAATAAGTAAATAAAATCTTTTTTAAAAAGTGAAACAGAAAGCCTGAATGGAATTGTAATCATTAAAGATGCTGCATTAGCTAAAAATCGACCCACTATAAGACAGAGGCTGGGTCCCTGAGCAAGGCTGGTTCACTGCACTGGGGACACCCTGCCTCTTTCCAGACTTGTGTTATGTGAGATTGAGTGTCTAGTTTTTTAGGTTTTCTGTTTCTTGTAGCCACATAAATCCTAACTGTTAATAAATATTGATTATCATTATGATACCTTTTCTTTTCCCACCCTAATCCCCTCCCCTTTTTTTTTAATGACCAAGGAGGGGCAAGGAAAGCAAGTAGTTAGATAGGAATTAAATTGAATGAAAGTTCAGTTTGGTTAAGCAATGCCTACAGTGAAGTTAAAGCTTACAATGATATGTGGCTATTGATAATTCTGTTTGATTTGCCATAATCTTTAATGGTACCATGATTGTGGC